TGATTCTTGCAATGCTTTGTCTTGTGCTTCTTGAAATCCTTCTGGGCAGCTCAGTTCCGGAACGCCAAACAGACCCTGCAATGCAAAACACAATGAAAACACCTAAACATTACCCTCTTCTATTTCCACCCCTTTGCTTCAAGATGTAATTATCACCATGTGTCCTGGGTTCAGCAGTAGCAGTCATTTTTTTCCTTCTTAGTAGCTGGTGCAGTGCTGTGTTTTTGACTTTCAGCCTGGGAACAGCACTGATAGAACCAATGTTTTTAGTTGCTGCTCAGTAACGTTTACTCTGACCAAGGACTTTGTGAGTCTCATGCTCTGCCAGGGAGGAGGGGAAGCCAAGAAGAAGTAGAGACAGGACACCTGACCCAAATTAACCAAAGAGGTATTCCATACCACAGCACATCATGCCCGCTATATAAACTGAGGGCAGTTACCCGGAAGGGCTAGATCACTGCTTGGGTCGGGCTGGGTATCGGTCAGCAGGTGGTGATCGGTTGTATTCTCTTCCCTTGTTATTTCCCTTATCCTTATTATTATCGGTGGTAGCAGCAGTGATTTGTGTTATACCTTAGTTACTGGACTGTTCTTATCTCAACCAGTGGGAGTTACATTCTTTTGATTCTCCTCCCCATCCCTCCAGGAGTGGAGGGAGGAAAGGTGGGGAGTGAGTGAGCGGCTGTGTGGCTCTGGGTTGCCAGCTGGGCTTAAACCGTGACACCATGGAATTTTACCAAAACAGCGCCAGCTACCATATTGTGACACTTCACTAAAATGTTCCCACATGAGTGTCTCTGTAGAGAGAATAGTCACAAAATGAATCACAGACACTAGTATCACATGAAAACATCTTCGCTTCCCAGAGCAAAACCTCCCTAAGGCTCTCAGGACTGCTCTCAGCAAATCTCAAGAGTTCAACATCAAACCCTCACAAATCTGCCTCTTTTCTCAATGCATTTTTTATCTTGCTTCAAAAGCATGGGCACCAGAAAAATTCTAAAAAGCCCATCTACATCCTGAAATGAGGTAAAGTCATCCCTCCGAAGCAAAAGAGATTTATCAATGAATGTGAGGACTAAGCAGGAGTGTCAAAGCAATTAATGTACTGGCCAGCTGCTGTAGATATCAAGCAATAGGACAGTTAGTAGTCTCAGGGTCATTAAATAAGCCCAAATACTGGAAACAGATTTCAAAGGAATGATGAGTAACAACTCAAAAACATTATGATATGACCAGTTTTGTTCCTGAAGTTCTTACAAAGCCCGGCTCTGTCCAACAGGGCAAGGTAAACACTGCCTTGTGCAGGGTAGACACACACAGCAGTTATTTCCGTCATTTGGGGAAGGGAATTAAAGAGGTCCTGCTGTAGATCAAACAAAATTGCTAACACACCCACTACAGAGGTTCCACGATATACGCCTACAATAGTAAAAAAAAAAACAAAACAAATCACTTAAAACAGCATCTCTGCAAACAAAAGGAACACTGAAAAAGACGTGTTTGTTTATAAACATATACATGTATATAAACAAGTACACTCAAATGTAAACATAAATATACGCATCACTCTTCAATAGTGCTTGCTGTATAAGAGTCTCAAGACTACCCTTTCACTAAGCTCCTCAGTCAGCTGATGCAGGGTCCTGCAATTTCCCAGTGAGGTTCTGGCCTTCCTGCTGCTCTATATCACCACTCACCCTCCCAGGTGCGCTCCTCCTGCACATGTAGTCTTCTATGAACAGAAGGTATCTTCTCTTAAGAGATAAATTAGCCACAGAGCAACTCTTCCAAGATGACACCAAGCTTGATGTGAAAATATAAAAATTGCCAAAAAAAGAAAAAAAGGAACAATTAAGCCTGGTGCAGATTTCTGTGTCTTTAACAGTGTGGCTGCATGGCTGCTGCACTATTCTCTTTGCGTGGCCTCAGCCTTTACACCCTACCTGTCCTAGCCTCTTCGCAAACCTGAAATACACATCTCTATTCCCAAGTAACTGAATACCCTCTCTGTGCACCAAGCAAATCCAGAACTCATTCCTAGACCAATAAATGCACAATATTTAACTGAATTATTTCCCTGGAGCAAAACTTACACCAGTGGGTTTGCAGAGGCAGGACAGCCTGAAGAAAAGTTTCCCAAACAAGTGTTGGATTATAAACAGCAGTGAAATTTGTCCTCACTAAACCCCTTAGTGCCAGGGTGCAACAACTTCACCAGCCTGGGCACCATAGCAGGAATAGTTGAGTCAGCAGACTAACACTAGGATTTTACAGGTGTAAATATTCCACACACACTCTGCCATGGAAAGGACTCATCCTATGTTGTCCAGGAGCTGGTTTAGATTCTGGGCACTCTCACTAACAAACATATCCAACTCACTCCAAAAGAAATAAACCAAAAAGCCCGAGAGGTTTCACCAACCCAGAAAACAACTGTTTTGGTTTTTTTTGCCACAAGCAACTGGATGTCAAGAATGACACCCACACAAGAGGCTGTCAGCTGTCGAAGTGATTTTAAAGCACTGCCATTGTGCAACAGTGCACAGACAGGACACTGACAGACTAAAAAAAGACACAGACAGGTAAGAGCTAGGAGTGGAAGGGGTACTGTGTGTATAGTCTCTATTGAGGCTCTAAGCAAATGTTTCAATAAACAAGGCCGTCATTTTCAAATGTTGATGTGTTCAGAAGAGAGAATGTTTCGGTTCATTAGAACCAAAACAAACCCTCACGAGGCTGTAAGGACCTAACAGCCTTAGCCCGGCTGTCCCCGCCACCACGAGTTAAGCTTTAGAAGCCAGAATTACACACAAGGAAAGGAAAGCAAAGCGCAACGCTGCCAGCAGCAGGCCCCTGCCCTTCCCATCCCGCCGCTCACCGTCTCCCTGCCCGCCGAGCTGCCGCGCAGCTGCTGCTTCGCATCGAAAGCGGCACCCACCGGGCACCAGCTGGTGCTGACGGCCCGGCGGCCCGGCCCCGCGGCCCGGCCCTGCAGCGCCCTGCTCAGCGCTGCAGGCAGCGCCCGCCGGCAGCCGGCCAGCATGGCTGAGCGGCACAGCTTGGGCCCGGGGAAAGGCCCAGGCGCGCCCCGCTCCGTGCTCAGCCACGACCTCCGCACGTCAGGGCCCAGCGGAGGAGGAGCTCGCTGCCCCCGCCTCCTCTCAGCCCGCCCGCTCGGCTGCCGCGTTCTTCCCCTGGCCGTTCCGGCGAGGAGGCGCCCTCTGCCAGGGGCTTGTCTCGGCGTTGCGGCAAGGGGAGGGCGCAGCGGGCTGGCACCACGGGCTGCAGGACTGGTGGGAGGAGGAGCCTCTGCCGGCGGAAGCTTCTCCTAGGTGTTTTCCAGTTAAGGGCGGTTTGTAGCGTTTCTTGGTCAAGATGCTTCATACACAGCCTTGGTTTACAGGGAAAACATCTCCTCTCACTGAAAAAGTCACAAACCCCTTTTTTCTGTCTTAGTGTCCTAGTATCTCCCTCCCTGTAACCCAGCCGACAAGGGAAGTGCAGCTGCTTTTCCCGAAGGAAACTCCTCCCACCATGACCGTTTTGGGTCTATGGTCCACACTCGCGGTTTGACAGCTGTGAGGATGTGTCCATGTTCCCTTGCTTCCCCAGCAGCATCAGGGGTGACAGGAACCCTGGCGTCATACTCCTGCGTTGCATTCGTGCTGAAGTTCACGATGCTGACCTGTGTCATTTCGCATCTCTGCTTTATTCTCTTTTAAGGGAGAGAGTGAGACTTACCAGCATCTTTTGGATTTTCTTAAATTGTTTTTATATATATATTAAATATATACTAGTTTTAGGGGGAAAGGGGAAAAAAGGATTCCAACAAAATTCACAAAAATGAAGGTTTCGTGGCACATGCCATATCTCTCGATCAGTTCTCCAGTATGTCTGCCTCCATGTTGATTAAAGGTTATCTCTCACTTGTGAGAATTTGTTTTGCAGAGGCTAAGTACAGCAGTGTTATGCTATATTTTTGCACCAGCATTGGATATCTGCCCACATCAGAGAATCCACACCGCAGTTCCTTCGGTCACTCCATTTTGCCTGATTTCAGACCTTTTGTTACACAGAGAGCAAAGAACCACGTTTAAAAGCTGTAAAATCCACCTAGTTGCAACAAAACTATCAAGCTGTGAAACGGGGCAAGCAGCCCCTATGGAGATCTCAAACTGCACTAATTCCAAGTTTAAAAATCATTTTGAAATGCTTGGATCTAAACCAGTCAAGTCCATCTACACATGCCACCCAGAAAGATATCAACTGGCTTGGAAGTAACTGCTGCTTAATGTTTATACAGGATACCAGGGACCCAAATCTCATGATTCCAGAACTTGAAATTTTATCTTCTGTTTAGGCCCACTTTCTTTTAAAACAGTTGTCCTTCAGAACTTGTGTATGCACCCTGTGTAACTACAGTAAGTCAGCAAACCAGTCATGTGTCAAGCCCAGCACTGCAGATTCCTTAAAGTTGTGCTCTCTTGCACAGAAGCTGCTCCTGGAAACAGCTCTTCCTGTTCCTGGAACTGTAGCCATAGAAACAGTTTATGCACATTAGGACTTTTTGTTTGTTTGTTTTAGTTTTAAGCAACAAAGCTAAGGACAGCAGATTAGGAGAGTTTAATAAACACCTGGTACCTTAAGACTGGGAGAAGAAAGTGTTTATTTCAAACTCTTCTGAGTATGACTTTGAAGCCTTAAAGCTTTGTTTTAGCAGCTGGTCATGAAAACTTCAGCACAGCAAGCTGTGCAATGAGCAGTTGTGTGCCTGGTTTCCTACATATACACGTAGTGTGATCCTGCACCTTCCCAATGTGATGACTTCAGTAAAAGAAGGAAAACAAAAGAAAACAAACATAAAAAATAATCAACTTTTACGACTTTTAGGGAGATGCCTAGCTGGTCCCAACCTGCCCCACACTCCTATGTCTCCCTTTCGGCTCTCAATGTAGTTCTCTGGCTGATTTCTGTTTTCTGTGGAATCCAGCAGAAACTGGACAGCAGATAACTTTATTAGGGAGGGCTGAAGGACAGAGACACATTGTATTCCCAGATAACATGGAGTTATGTGGTGGGCGATGGCAGCGGCTCCAACAGGTCGGAGGTGCTGAACAGGAGGAACCCAGAGAAGGTGGTATCATCATCAGCATCTGCAAACAGCCCATTGAAAGTCTCTCCGTGGTGAGCCTGCAGCCACACCTCGTCTCCTCCCTGTAGCTCCAGGATGGCAGCTCCCGAAGCCTGGTCCTCTCCACTCTGGTACCTGTCCACGGTGTGCAGCATCTTGATGCCATTTTTAACTAGAGCTACTCGGACGTTCCTTGAGTAGACAGTGATGTGGTAGGTGAAATAGTAAACACCGGGGTATTTGCAGGTGAATTTGCCAGTATCTGAGTTGTAGTCATTTAGACTATTGTACAGTACCTTGTCAAACTTGATCGGGCGATTTGGAGGGGGAAATTTGGTGGCGATTGTAAGGCCGACACTAAAAGCACTTCTTGGTAGGACTGCTGGGGCACCTACATTCCCCTTATCCCCTCTGTCTCCTTTCAAGCCTCTTTCCCCCTGAACTCCTGGATTACCCTGTGGCCCAAGATCTCCAGTATTACCTTTAGGACCTGGATTACCAGTTGGGCCAATTGGCCCTGGGAAGCCAACTCTTCCAGGATGGCCAATGTCACCCTTTGTCCCTTTTGGACCTATGGGCCCAATGTCTCCTTTTAACCCCTTTTGTCCTTGCAGTCCCAACTCTCCCTTCTGACCCTTGTAACCCACTGACCCTATAATTCCTTTCGGTCCCAGTTTCCCAGGTCGTCCTCTTTCTCCTTTATCTCCTTTGTTCCCCTTCTCTTCAACAGTACCATTTGCTCCTAAATGGAAAAAAAAAAGAGAATTACTCTAAAGATGTGCAAGTCCAGCACCCAGGTTACTGAATTTGTGCAGAAATGATGTGATACCACTTGCTCAATGACTGACTCCCTGCATTTATGCACAAACTGCTCTGCTCATATATGTCCACCTGACAAGGAGACATGCTGCATACACATAGGTTGGCTAAACAGTTGAACTATATAAACAGCATCTATTTTTAGTGCATAATTTAACTTCTACAGTTTCTCTTTAAAGTCCATTTTCCTGAAGCTGAATACTTAGCTACGGGATCCTCACTTTCTTAAGGTAACTGCAGATGCAGTGTCTTCCTCAGCAGCTGACAAAAAAGATCACAGATAAGGAAGGTAGGATAAAACAGGCTCAGTGAACAAGTTGCAGGGCATCAGGGGCAGCAGGGATGATTGGTGGTGGCAAATTCATCTTGTATTGTCAGCATCTCTGTGCAGCCTCTATTACTCCTGGAAAAGATTTTTTAGCCTTTATGGTAGTTTCACTACAGCTAGAATGTGTAGTGCTCACAAACACAAGGGCAGCAGGTGGCAGATAATAAATTGAAACACTTCTGTTCTGACCTCGTTCGCCTTTCTCGCCATTTGCGCCATCTTTTCCTGGACTGCCAGGAAGTCCTGCTTCACCTAGTACAAAAGAGAAAAACAGATTTCCATTAAACAATTACATTACTAGAAAACTTTGTGTGAATCCTTCTCTAATCCTTCGAGGCTGGCTAAGCAGTAGTATAAAGAGTAGTCTTATTCCTGGTTTTTAATGGGTGCCACTGCTGGTACTTCTATCATATGGAGAGACTGACACACAGCACAGAAACTCTGCTTGAGGATAGTGCTTTTTTGAGACAGAGGAAATGCTAGGGTTATTGAAGTGTGGAGAGGAGCTACACCCTGGTCTAAACCACTAATGTGAAAACCTCTTGTCCTATTGTTGCTGTGATCCATGGAAGATACCATCAGGAAAAGGTGGAAGGGTTTATCTGATAAGGACAAGTTTGATCCAGATTGAATTGTGCAGCTGAGTTAACCAGGCCCATGATGACAGTTTATGCATTAAACCATAATGCCACCTCTATGATGCCACACAATAGCTGACCTAACATAAAGCCTGTTGAGGAAAAGTTCTCCCCCAGAATTTTGTGAACAGATTTGAAGCAGCAGATTTGCACTTGTATTGTGTTTTGCATTCTGGGGTTGTGACACTTCAGATGAAGTGTTCTATCTCCACATGCTCACAGATTTACCACTTCGTGTAACCCTGGTCTTGATATTTCATCATGAATACAAGGGCCATCATTAAGCTAAGGTTTAAAGTACTATGGGAATTATTAGCTTTAGGATGCTGAGAAGATTACCTCTGTCTTCAGTATCACACAAACATCTTTATTAAAGCCTGTTACAGTAGACATGAATCCTATACTGTTTCTCAATAGTCTCTATTTCTGAACTTCCCCTAGTGGCTTTTGAGTTACAGCAAGTAGGCACACTCAGAAGCAAGTCCTACAAATGTAAAATATAGATAAGAAAGAGAAATCTTCTTACCGCTACACATTTCTTATTACACTGAACAAGGTACCAGTTGTTGGGGTTTTTTTTACTGGGCTTGAAGCTCTTCACAGAAATGTAATTGCTGTCAGATATGTAGGAGTAGGTTTACAGGCTTTAAAATTTCCCCAAAGTGGAAGGCAAAGCCTTTTTTCTTTTGTTTTTATCCAATTGACCTGACCTCTCCATAGTATTAGCCATCCTGCTTTCACTATTAGGTCTTTATATTTCCTTCTTCAAACAAGTGAAAGACGAATATCTGAAGTGTTTTCTGAAGTCTAGGCAGAATAATCCCATTAATGCAGTGACTACCGACAGCTTCAGGAATGAATGACATTGCATTTGATACATTAAATCATTTATTTTGACGACAGTACCTGTATCTCCCTTGTCGCCTTTTGAACCATCACGTCCATCACGACCAGGTATGCCATTGTGCCCAGGATTGCCAGGGATGCCAGGATACCCTTGGGTGCAGACGTCCTGGTTTTGTGTTTCTGATGTGCTGACTACAACAGCCAGCAGTATAATCCAGCTTTTCATTCTTTAGATGGGCTATATGATTTTGGCTGAAAATTTAAGAGAGAAATGTACATCTGCCTAAGTCCACCTTATAAGCAAGTGCAGCACGGTGGAGGGATGAACAAAAGGAAATGGCTTTTCATCATGTCTGTTTTGTTTTGTATTATTTATAGGTCTCTATATAGCATTCAGTACAGTCCTGGAGATTTCTGAGTATTATTTCAAACAATAATTTAATGGGAATGTCAGCCATGGTGGCATTATTCATTTGAAACACTAGCTCAGCTTTATACAATTTAAAATATTCCTTATTCCTGTTATATTTAAACCATGAGTGCATTGATAAAGACTAGATTTCATGGATTTGGCTGAATTTAACCCAAATCTCAAGGTCATAATAAAAAGGCATCTTGGGCAAAAGTGATCACCTCTCCCCACCTACCCCCATCCCCAGCAATTACAGCAAAGAATATACACTTGCAGTGGCTATTTGCTAAAGAACTTCCAGTGACCTGTCTTACTCCAACCAAAGCTCTAAGACCCCCAATGCCTGGCAACTCTTCAAGTAAGTATACTAATAATGTTGTTGCTGTCCTAAGCCCAAATCAACAGTTAAAATATCAAGTCTTGGGGTGTGAATTGGTAGGACCAGCAATCTCACGTTCATACACAAGGATTCATACCATGCCCTGTTTCTCTGAGCTGTAGTTTTGCTTATATAGGCATTCTCCTTGTTCATAAATCTCTGTATACATTCCTATAGCCAGAACAGTGCCCAGAGAGGAGCTATTTCATGGCCATTGCTGATTTTTGGAGCCATACAGAAGCGTGTCTACATCTCCCAGCTTCCTCTTTCTTATTTCAAAGACTTCCTCTCAATTGGCACCTTATGCATTTGGAGTCTGTAAGGAAACCCTTCTCTCTGAGCTCCAAACTTTTATCAGTGTTAGCCAGTTAGAACCCAGTATCTGCCTAACAGCTTCTTAAACAAATAATAAGTGAGCTAGTCAAACGTAACGAAGAAACAGCAGAGGTCTTAATGCTCACTTTTCCATCCACACTTCTCCCTGTAACCATTTGTGACTGCAGAGTTGTATCTCTTATCTCCTGGGTGCTGGAGGAGTAGCTAGGGCATTTCAACCTCCTAATTCAGCACAAAGAAATCATCTTTTTCTTTCTCTCTCTCTCTTTTTTTTTTCTTTTTTTTTTTTAATTTGAGTTAGTCATCTACTGGGTTAATAGGTTGAATGATCTTAGAGGGGGTCAGAGCTGGAGCAGGGTGAGATGAGGGCAAAGATGTGAGGGATCAAATAAGAGAGTTTTTTGGCAAAAACAAGTCTTTAATCTGGTTCTCCCCCTTCGTGTAACTATGCTACTTAAAGTCCCTCTTACACTTCTCTTTTCATTAGTGTCTCTCCTATATAATGTCTTTTAATGTAGGCCCACCAAAGCAAATTAGTATATAATTCTGGACACAACTGATTTAAGTGAGTTTAAGAGCAATTAATGGGAAGATATTAGACTGAGGAACAAAAAATCAAATAGCCACATTTTATTTGGATTAATATTCATAAAGCCCTAATGCACAGAAGCTTTAGCTGTACAGGTTAAGAACTTATACACATAAAAGTGATAGAATGAGTAAATTTTATATAATTGGCTTTTGAATTTGTTTTTTCATTAATGAGAACTTTATACTAAGGTCAGTATTCCTTTTGAAATATGAGCTAGTATTGACTCAAAAAAATTATGTCTTTTGTTTAATCTCTTCACCACCATTTTTCAGTCTTGTGAAACACTGCACAGCAGGGCAGCAAAATACCATGTAGCGAGAGACTAGTATGTTGCCAATAAGAATAATTACACCGTTAGTAATATTTGATCTAAATATTCTTTGAACTTAATTTATAGAGGAAGACCTTAATTTTGGTACACATTTCTTAATTTTTTTATTCTGTCTTTAGAAAAGTTCCCTATTTTGCAGCTGTTGTTGGAAATGTGATTTATGGTGACTTTGCCAATGGTCTAAAGAGCGATGCTGAAAAAATCCAGCATCAAAATTCCACTTTGTCTGCTGCTGCTGGCTAGAACTAAGTAAAGCTGAAAATAGATTAAATATTTGCTACTTCTGAGCTCATTTACTGCCTTAGTCAGAGGACTCCAGAGGAGTGTAAAAGGAAGAATTGCTCTGTATGATGTTGTTAGGATATGATGCACCCCATGGAGAAGCCTGACAGTCCTTGTCTGCTGACAAAAAACACAATTCCCTGTTGTCTAAGAAGGGAATGTGTCTTGCCTAAGGAATAGATAGTTTGGTCCCCACACATGCACTCCTCTCCCAAACCTGACAACATCAACTTCATCATCTCTACCTCATCACATATATAGGATCTCTGATCTTACCTCATTCACTTTGTACTTGCAGTGTTTTTGATCATCTTTAAGCAGAGCATAAAAGCTTCATGTAAAGGAAGGTGAGCTCCAAATATGTGCCTTGATGACAAGCATTTGTTTGGTCACCAAATTCTCACAGGTCAGTGATTTAATTTTGAGAGCTGTTCAATAATTAAAACAGGTTTAAAGTGGAATCTTCCTATTTATTCCAATATTAAGCCGAAGTGCCCTGTACTTTGGCTTTTGATGCCGTTATGTAAAAGAAAATTGTTAAAGTGGATTAGTCAGGCTTTGATTTGCCTGTTCCATTATACAAATACATTACACAAATGTTAGCTTGGTTGGTTTGTAGGATGGAAGGCATGTCTTTTACTATTATTGTGCTGCAAAAACATGTAATAAATTTAGTTCACGTATCAAGCAATTTACAACAGAATTACTGACAAAAAGACTATAGAAATTAAAAATAACAATGCTGTGAACATGTCATTACAAATATTAGGTGATTATGAAAAAGAAGCAACCAAATTGAATTAAAGTAAATAAACTGAATGCCAAGGAAAGCTTTTCATGTGTAATTAGCAGGCTCCCCATCTAGCCATTCAAGCATCAGTCAAAGCTATTGTGCTACTGAATTATCTACTATTGGTAACTAAATTTGAAGAAGCCATGAATTGATACTTAACTGTGTCTTCTTGAAACTACTGCAACTTCTGCTAAGGACTAGTGGAAGTAAAGCAACCGAGCATACCAACTCCTTAAATGATGCTTGTGAACAGTGAAGGATAAAACCAATAGTAACAGGAGTTAATGTGTTACAGGACGTGGCCTCAATTCACCCATGTTGGTGCAAGTGACTGAAAACACTGAGTTGCTTCCCCCACTGCGAAGATATGACGTGTGTGGTCACCTGTCAAATGTGAGGTTACGTTATCGCACAGCTCACAGCGAATTGTGTTTGCTACGGTCTTCACCACCACCCTGTGGTAATAAGGAAATATCGCAAGCGTTATGGTACCTGGGACATTGCCTCTACTGTGCTCTGAGGAAGGACAATGTGCAGCAACTAGCTGCTCCACTTGAATGAACTTCTGCAGCCAAATTCTTCTGCTGTGCTAATTGAGAAGAAGAAATGAAAGCCATGATGGGAGAGCTGGTGGCTCTCGGGGGATAGCACTGGGGGCCTCTGGGGACATGGCATACGCAGCAGCAGTCCTGCGGCGGCAGGGTCCTCACACTGGCCCAGAAGAGGCTTTGAATTTTACAGTGACAACAGTCATGGCCTGTCTGTCCCAATCCTGAGGTGGAATGACATAATTCATTAGTTACACCTACCCTGATGGACTCTGCAATTAGTCTGGTTTGATTAGTCTGCTTTCTTATCAGAGAAACAAGAAAACTGTTGTAAGAATGGCCTTAAAGGCAAGCATTAATATTAGGTGCTTTTCTGTGTGCCTTGTATCATCACAGAATTATGCCTTAGGGATAGTTTCATAGTAGCAAAAGTTCACTATTTGCTCTTAAAAAAACATTGTATTTGAATAGCAGAAGATGCAGGGATTTTTAGATTGACTGCTGTGCTAATTGCCTTTGTTACGAGCTGAATATGGTGGTAATGCCCATGAGATAGATGGCTACTAAAAGAAGATATACCCAACCTTATTAGCAGAGCACCTTCTAGATACCTTTTCAGTCTTTCATGAGTCATTATCTCAATGTCTGGGTATGCTTATAGATAAAGGCCATGGTTAACAGTACTTATCCAATATGACTACTGACAGTTCACTTCAGTGCATGTACTGGACCATCTTATTTCCAATAAGCCGTTTAACTGGCCAATAACTGGCCGTTTCTTATTTCCAATGTGGAAGCCAGGAGGAATTTGTTGTGCACCTTGTTCTGCCAGCAAAGTCCCTCAGGAGCACCTGCTGCTCCTCCTTTTCCCAGAAGCAGTTTCAGCTTTCCAAAAATCAAACAGTTGATAAATCCTACATCATCTTGTGTTTCTTGTCCAAGCAAAACTCAGCCCTGGAAGGGCAATGGCAGTCCTTGCTCTGCTAACCTCTGCCCTCTCAGATTTGCCCTTCTGCATTTGGCTGACACCAGACCCCAGTGATGTGGACAGCTTTCAACCTTCACCTGTCTGGAGTGGTTTGTCTGTCACTACTGGTAGCCCACCCTGAATGTTTAAAACGTTAAAATTCCTTGGGTAAAACCTTGCCATGTATCATCACCTCATTGTCTCCTATCCTACCCCCTTCACTCCCCGCCAAGATGCACAACAGAAGTGCAAGATGTAACATAGAGGGAGGGTGCAACGGGTGTGGATCACTTGTCTGCTTCAACCTGCTGTAGGTGCTAGCAGAGACATCATCTGGGGGTGCCATATGAAGTCTATAAAGGGGGTGTAAATATACACACACATGCACATATATATATATATAACACATACACACGCAAGTCTTTCTTTTTTTGAAACCAGAACCTAAATACCTAATAACTTCAGCCCTCAGTACTCATCTGGAAACCATAAGTCAGTTCTGACTGCAGTGAACTGAACCTAACACAGACCTAAGATTAAAAATCCCCCATATGCTGACAGTTTATACAGTTTTGACATATTCTCACGATTACATGTTCTCTAGCTAATTAGAATAAGTGAATTTTGAAAAACATTCAGAAACACACTAAATGTTTGCATGCTTCCCTTACATGATGTGCAGTTTTCAGGATTCAGCCTAACTGCAAAAGCGTAAAGTAAAATGCACGAATGAGCTCACCATGGCCAGAATTGCAGGCTCCTTAGAAAGCCTATTGAGCACAATGTCCTGCTCCAGTGTTTGCTCAAGCTATGTTTTTCAGTCATCCAATCTACCTCACTAAGTGCTTGACCATGCCTTTCACTTTGATCTGGGAGCACTCAGCACACATGGGAGGCCTGGGAAACTCTCAGCTTTGAGGCAAACCAAGAAACAGAGATAAGAGCTTGGACAGTGGAAGGAGGGGGAAAGAACTGGCAAACCCAGCTATTCTTACCAGCATTTGATCTCACCAAAGCACTTTTGATGAGAAGATTTCAGCGAAGTGTGTTAAAGCTCATGTGTCTCCATGAAACAGTTTTTGACGTAGCCTTGAGCAGGAAGGACACACGCGTGCCTTTCAGATGTGGTCTCCTGCTCTGTCAGAATAGTGAGAAAGGAATAACTTCCCTGAACCAGAGCAGTAAGCTGAATCTCCAGCAGTGTTGCCCATTGCTCTAACAAGCAGCCAGGTAAGCCTCTTCACACACATTTACAGAACATATCTTTTGGGTGAACCCTTTCAAAAGGTTTTGCTTTTGTTCCAAAGAAAATGAGCATTTGTCCTTCCCCACCTGAACTACAGTACTTGTCACCATGCTCCATTAGCAGGAGCTTTATTAATACAGAAGCTGCATTTGCATTTACTTTCAAGGGGTGCTGTGGGAGCTGTCTGGCAGGACAAAGTAAAGCAGAGTGATCTTGGATGCACACGGCTGGGCAATAACAAGGATGGCTTTTGTCTGAACAATGATTCAACCCCAGAATCAGGTTTAGTAGTTGTTAAAATGAACTTGTGCTGGGAAGTACTGTAGCTGTTACTGGAAAGCTTAAGTAACTGTTTTTTTGCTTTAAAATAATAAATACGACAGTTGATACATTTTTGCATCACAGGGAATATTTTGTAGACAATAGAAAAACTCCACATACATTTTAAAACTGGACAATAAAGTTTTATAAGACACAGCTGAGGAATTTCAGCTTTGTACATTATTTAATTCAAACATGTACAATAAGAGAAAAATAATGGGAATGTAAGTTTGTACTTATTTCCAGAAAATAGATTCATTTGTCAAACAATGTTCCAAGAGTAAATAAACCTTGTAATGCGATTACTTCTGAACAAATGTACATCAAACTACTGGAGTCCTACACATTGTACTTCAGCTGTCAACAGCCAATTCATCTGCTCTGTAGCCAGGACAATTCACTTACAACATGTGTAACAGCACACAGATGGTAAGATGCACAAAGCCATTTATGCAAGATAAAATGTTACAAAATACTTATAAAAAAAAATATATATATGAATGTCATCCCTAGTATTTACAACAAACAGTTTTAAATTAGAGATCGTTCAGAAGGCATCTCCTACATACAAATGCCACAAGTATAGAAAAGAAAGCAGAAAGGCAGTCAAAGAAAGGTACTGTGTTAGCTATGGATGAAGACCTTTGGCTCCAAAACTCTGTTATAATTATCTTCAAAAGACAACTAAACTGTGGAACATTTGAGTAGTCTGTCTTTGAACTCCATTATTACACTGACCACTAAAACTCAATGTGAAATTTAGCATGGCAAGAGCCACTTGTAAAACAATCTTATTATTTTATACATCAAATGCTTTGAGTTAGGTGCAATTATGGTTTGGCATTTTCCTAACTCAGTGGGAACACATTTGAGGACAATTATATTTTACTGCATCTTATGCACAAAGTCTGAGGTTATCTGCTCAGCAGGCCGTCAGGAAGGCTCTGGCCATGCTTTATCTAAATGAGGCACAAATATGCTTAGTAGTTCCCCTAGAACTTTTTATGGTAACTTAAATCATGCAAAAGAGAAGAAGTTGCTGTCATACCTTTCTGATCATATATAAGTTTTGTCATTAGAAGGAGAATCAGGACAAGAGCTGCTAGAATACGAACATTTTAGTAGCTGCAGCTCTTTTTCCCACAGACTCTAAAGTCAGGCTGAACCCTAAGTAAATATTTGTCTTAATTGTTGGATAATGTAATCATGTGTTTTCCTTTAACTATAATTTGTTTAAAAGATTATGGTGTGGTCTGAATTTGGTCTGTCTTGTTATATTTTATCTTAATCTATTGCCAAGACAGATACAGAGTATTATAAAACCACCATGCCTTTACGTAGGGCACTATATGTAAAACTTTCCTGAGTAATCTGCACCATGAAACATTTGCTTTTTTTTATTTCTGACATTTGAGTCTTGAGAAAAAAACTGCTGCATCCAAAACCATATGCAAACATTTCTGTTCATTTTTAGGGCTAAGGCACCAGCACTAGTATGTGGGAAGACCCTCAATGGGCACTGACGTGTCAGAAGATACATCCAAATACCTTTTTTCTCCAGCAGTCCACAGACAGAAAGCATGGAAAGAAGTAAGTTTTAGCAAGGAAACATATGTAAGTAAGTGTGGATCTCCTAACAACCTCTTGTCTGGTTGGGAAAGTTTGGGTGAGCACTGCAATCCAACTTCAGACACTTCCTTTTTGCATCTAGAAAAAGTCTTTTGAAATGTGATTATGAAAAACATAATCTCCACTTCCACAGTACATGCATTGCTTTGGTTCGCAGGCCTGAATGTGGTATACAGCCACAAAAATGGCTATGCAAGAAACACAAAAGGGTTACTCATTTAAGGGAAAGGGCATGCATCCATGCTTGCATTTGGAAGTCTGCTCTGTATGTTTAAATGAGCATTTAGAATTATCTTTAAAAAAAAATCTGAACAGAAATAGCTTGTTCTTAACTGTTTCAGGTCATCTTGTATCACTGTGGGAAGGCAAAAGCAAGGAAGTTCATTATGTAGTGAACAATCCAGCTGAGCAATCCAGACTTTGCATTATTGCTGACCTATGTACACAAGGCATTTGAAATGTACAGTTGTCAAAAGATGTATTTTAAAATCGAAACCACAAACCTGGGCTTTGCAGAAGTTGCCACAAAGTTATTAAATCACAAAATCTAATGACTAGTGGGCTTTACAACACTGACAATAAAAAAAGAAATAGAGGTAACAATAGTAGTAGGAACAAATACATGTTTAAAATAAGGCCTTTTTACATTGCTGTTAAGATGCCTGGCCTCTAGCCCCTTGTTTGTTCTTCATATATTACAGATTCATGACAAAGCTGATTGTGTCCGTTGTCAAAGAATACCCTTGGATCTATCCTTATCATCATATAATGCCCTTAATCAGCAGCATAGGATAAAGCATTGTAAAGACATTCATAGCAAATCAGTTCCGAAAAATACAGTCTTTCTTTCCTTGCATATCACCAGCAGTCTTGTCATTCTTAACGGGAGCTATCAAAGCAGAAACGATCAGTGCTGGAAAATACCAAGATCCTGATTCTTCCTGGTGCCTTTTTAGATGTTATTCTCCCAAATCAACTTCATGTCATAGGCAAATCATAGCAATGCAAATCATGTATTGCATATGCTGGCCAGAGCTGACTTTAATCAATCTTAGTCAGGTTCTCCCCTTCCAATAGAGACTCTGAGACAAAAATCTGCCTTTGGTCCACAGAGTTTCTCTGTCTCCTCCAGTGAGGATTTATCTTTCTTTGTGAAGAGAATTGGTCAAAACCCATTGTCAACTGACTGTGTATAAAGAGCATGAATCCAGACTGCTTCGATATATTTACATTACTACTTATCCACTTTCTAAGTCAAGCTATATGAATATAAAGTGTGAGAACTATGTAACATAGCCAGCAGTCAGCATGTACTGTCTCAACTCTTGACTTTGTACATTCACATTTTCTTTGTTAGAAAACAAAAAAAATACTTTTTACACAGAGAAATAAGCATGTTGGAAATATAAAGAAGAATCTCCCAGGCAAAGAAGTGCGCAAAAAGTGATATAAAAGCTCCATTCTGAAGAGCTTACATGCATGTAGTATATTGCTATGACTGAAATTAATCATTCTGAGATGCCCTGGGCTCCTCTTGTTTCCACTTCTGTGCAATAAATGCACACATATCTTTATAGCTGATTTCACACTCTGTTCATGTTTCTATATGACAGAATAAAATTTCCCTGTTCCAATCTGGAATATGGTAAGGCCTTGCGGGATGTTCTCCTGCCATCTGGCAATTTAATAGAAAAAGACAGCAAGGATTAGGGTGCGCTGAATTCTGCAATGGCTGGTTAATTGCATGGGATGTCTCCACCTGATTTTAATAGGTGGTCTCACCTCAGTGCTCCAAAAGGAAGGAGAAAACTCTCCTAAGATTCCTTGCTTATACACCACTAAGGAAAAATTCCTCCCTATCCTAAATTTGGCCATCAACACAAGGTTAAGAAAAATGAAATGTTACAAAGACCTGAATTATTCCATCGCTACTTCAACATAACTAAGAAACAAAGATCAAATACTGCTGCTTCAGAGTGACAACAAGTTGTCTCTGTCAGAAGGGAGACTGCTCTTCATCAGCAATGATGGCACTTGGCAACATTGACTTCAGAGCTGTCTTAAGAAACTTCATTCTTCTTCTAGCCAAAGGCTGCATTTCTGGCTCAAGGGAGGCCAAGGTTTTGCCTTCATAACTGGAGAGTCACTGAGCTCAAATAAGCTCCACCACTTCTCCAAGGTCCTTCTCTGGAGTAAGTCTCCCACCATGCTGATGTCCTTCCCAGGTCCTTGGCCTCTCACTTTTTAAAGGGGGTGAGTTTGTTGAAGGTATGCCAGAAGAGGGACGGCTTCCGCTTGGGTTCCGCCAGGGCAAAAACCTGCTGCTGTGGGATGCTGGTAGGCACAGTGATGTGGCGCTGATGAATAGGATGCAGGCTTTGGTGTGGAGGAGGCACAGGACAGCCGTTATAGCTTACACCTGCAAAAGGAACAGTTTCAGAAAGCATGAGACAACAGCACTTCCAATACTGGGAAAACTGCACAGGACCATGGGACAAACTCAGTGGTCAATAAAGCTGGTATAAATTTTGCCATGATCCTGAATGGAAGCACTAGCAATGGTTAACATTTTCTGATGTTAGACTTTTTAACTGCTGCATTGATTGGCTAAAGAAGAGAATAACACCACTAAAAATAACATTACAGAACTACCAAATATAAGCTGCAGTTTCACATAGCCTGGCTGTATTGTTTATACAAGTAAATTCTGTTTTTTTCAAAGGAATAACTTAACACAGTAGATACTTCTATTTCAGTCAACTATCAGAATAAGGGTGGGTAAAATGTTGGTACAAAAAATTTGTTATTTATTCCATTCTGAAAATGTTTTTCCATGGCAATATTCTCAGACTTTGACCTTTGTGCATTCTGAACAGAATCTCCTGATCACAATTTTCAGCCACTCCCTGAAAATATAGTCAGGTTTGATAGGTATCTAGTGATTGATAAAGAGAAAATGCTTTAATAATATTATTGCCACAGAGCAGAGGACCACTTAATGCCAACTCCATCACTCCTAAATTCAGGCTTAATTTGGTCCAAATTTCTCACTTTATTTTCTCAACACACTGGAGATTTATCCAAATTTGCTTTAAGATGGAAAAGGACAAAATCACAACATACTTCTTTCTGAGAGAGAAAAGAAATAAAAAAGCTGTTTCCAAAGTAACACATTTCTAGTCCATCCTAGCCTAGGAGAGAAGGAAACCTTTTCTAGTGTGTTATCACAAATACAGCAATGTGTGGCTTGCAGAAGGAATGTCTAACAAAGCACAGAATTGCCAAAGAAGAACAAGCTGTTTGAGTAAAAGCAAAGGAAGGAATAAGTAATTCCATTTCTTGTTCAGTTTCTGCATCTGCTTTCTTACATTCTTCAATAAACTGCTTGCCTTACATCTTGAGTTCTTCTCTAGTAAAGAGGATACTGACTTGCCTGTCTGAGGAATACTCAGTAAACAGTTTACACAGGCATTGGAATTTGATATTAAAATACAGCTTAATAGAAATTATTTAATAACAATGTAATTCCATATAAACTATGAACATTTTTAGAAGATTGAAGAACCCCACCTTAGCCAGACTGAGCTATTTCCTAACATGAAGAATACTGAGTAAGTATGTAAAGCAACTCTGAACACTCACCTTTAATCTTTCCATGTCTTGACTTACGGGCATTCTGCATGGCTTGTACCTTCTGGTTTTCTGAGATTTCCATTCCTATGTCAGAGTGTAAATTAAGGCACTGGTATAAAAATGCTGCATCTAATACTTGATTAAATTAATTTAAAACAAAAAAGTAAACTATATTTCAAATAATTTTTACTAAATCTTAATAGTAATATACATTAAATTTTTAGAAGTACATTTTACTTCATCATATAAATTTTTTCACTGGGATAACAATAAGAACATTCATGTGCCTGCTAATTACTGGGAAAAGCTGCTTTCTAGTTCCTGCAAATGGCAATCACTAGGGAACTCACCACATTAAAAAGTTCTTTTTATAGCCAAGTCCAGATAACAAGAGATTTAAAAATAAAAGTGTAAATTAACACTTCTACAAGACACCAAGTAGTAGATCACAAATGCAGAATCTGTTTCTTTTTTCACTCACTCCAAGCTAACTTGGGGTAACAAATTGAAGTCACTGGTATTATAGTAGTACAAATGTGGGTATCTTTGCCTCCACCCAGAGGAGACAGCATCACATAATCTTAAAGACACCAAAGCAGGTTGTGATGTGATTGGGGCTGCATCAGATTGGAACTGGATGTCTCACTCTGGTTTCTCATGTGCTTGTTTGCATACTTGTATATCTTACATGATGCTATAGTATGTGGCCAATCCTATGCTATTTACTATCACGTGATAGGTGTATGACTAATCTGTGCTGAGTACAGGGATGCCAGACATCTGCTATGAAAAGTAACACCAGTGACTGGTGTCGTCTGAGCCCATGTACAGGCACTACAGTTTCCCTGTGTCCAAGACAGCTGAGATACATGGATATGTTACATTTGCACAAGGAGACAACAGGGTGCACACACAGTCATTCATTTCATTCATATGCACATAAAGAGCACAGCAGCTGTGATTCAAAGTCAGAAGCATCTGGTTTGGTTCTATTTTGCATTTTCCCATACTTCCCTACACTTTTAAAATTCCTCTACTTTTTCTAGTTTCAACTTATGAATAAGTTACTACAAATCAGCCTATTAACTAACACTAAAACAGCATTAAGACATAATTTCGGGCTAGCAGAAGATTATTTTATTCTGGAGGGTTTTTATCCCTTTATAGAAACATGGAAACAACAACAACAACAAAAAAAAAAGCTATTTCATCAAAAGAGATCAGACCACTTTCTTAGGGTTACTATTAGTGGCTTGGAGAAGAATTTTTTGGCTGTGGCCTTCTTTTCCCATATATTCATAAAAGCTAAGAAAAGCTAGATATGGTTTGGGAGACAGTGACTAGCACCAAAGTGTCTTTGGAAATACAAATAAAATGCCATTTGCAGGTCTTAATTGGAAGAGTATGTGCTTGTTCTCTGAGTGGTTAGATCAGAGGCTTTGTGTGAAGACCAACAATATAGCTTACAAAATCAACAAGATAAATTTAAACCTGAGGTTGAGAATACTGGCTCCTTTCCACTGGTTTTGGCTAAAGGAAACGTTCAATTATGCAGAAGAAAGAAAAAGAAGAAAAGAAGCAGTCTTCTAAGTAAGGAAGAAAACAAGCCACTGTGACTCACAAGACCAGAGGGACATCAGTTATTGCAACTCAGCTGTCTTTCCTCTGGTGCATGATACATGTCCCAAAACAGGTACATCAGAAGAATGAGTTGCAACATTTGAAAAGAAAATTTCCAGAAGGCTGGATGTTACACAGGCAAAAAAGACTGCACGTGCCTTTGTGCCTTTATAAAAAATACAGTTTCTCTTTATACTGAATTTTCTTCTATTGCACGGTGCCAGAGGAGCAGCAAGCACAAAGGACCCTCCCTTGCAATCCTCACGCTCAGCACCATGGGAATCTGTGATCCAGCCCTAAATAAGGGTTAGTGCCATTATTACAAACCACATTGTTAACCACTGCCACTACCACCACTGTTGAGTGAGTACCCTTTTGAATATCATATGTTAAACAGGGGGAAGCTCAGGTTAGATGTAAGGAAGAAGTTCTTTACTGCAAGGGTGGTGAGGCACTGGAATGGGCTGCCCAAGGAAGTTGTGAATGCTCGACCCCTGGCAGTGTTCAAGGCCAAGTTGGACAGAGCCATGGCTTATGGTGTGGTGCCCCTATCCATGGCAGGGGTGTGGGAACTAGATTAACTTAAGGTCCTTTCCAACCCTAACTATTCTATGATTCTATGTTGGTTTTCGTGAGGTCCCACTAGAGTAAATAACGACATTGAGGGCTACAGCTGCTACTGTTTTTCAGTTTCCTCATGCTTGGGGATTTCTGCAGCAGTGTCACTTAGGAGTGGTAACACCCCACTGCTTGCAAAAGACAGAACTGCTGCTGCCCAAGGCAGGCATTAGTGTGAGCCTCAGAAGCATCCTGACATACAGCATTTATCCCACTCAACACACTCTTCTGGTGCTCCATAAAGCACCCACTGCAGGAGGAGGTGTAGATACAGATTTGAAGAGCTCAGTAATGCTCCTCAGAAAGGATGGGAATGGAAAATGCTCACATTTTATCTTCTTTTGCCCAGTCGTGCTCACAGCAGTGCAGGAGCTGTGATTTATTCCGTATTGTCCTTCCACATGACTGTAATACTGTTCTCATATGCTGGAATGGAGGCTTCCAGTAACTTTGTTGTAAGAGGGATTGTTGGGATGCTCATCATCAGAGTATCTGCACTGCTTTATTACCTGCTGATCACCTTCACCCTTTTGCAATATCCACTTTGGTTTACAGTTCTGTTTAGGTGAACTAGGAAAGGCAGCCACCAGCCATCCCCATGAGCAAAAGGTGACAGAACAAACTCCACATAGAGCAACCTGTGAAAGCTATCAGTGCTGTGCCCAACAGGGTCATAATGTCACACCATGATGTTCAGAAGAATTGGGTTTGGAAAAGTTTCATGAAAGTTTAGCTGTGGCTGCTTCATTTTGGTCTAGTCTGGAGATATCTGGGGTTAATTGCAACAGTTGGTGCCATGGAGAAGAGTTAAAACTGATTTTAGAGTATGAATTGGTAAAGTTGAAAATATTTTCTTCAGCTTACAGGCTATCTACAACACATGGAGGAGGCCTTATTTTATTGCATTTAAAAAAGTACCAAACATGAAAAAGCCACTAAGATGAAAAGCTTTAAATTTGTAATCCAGGGGTTATTCTTGTCTTTCTCTTCTTCTGATCAGGTGTTTTAAGTGAACATGAAATATGAGATTTGGCATCTTGTTTACATTTTAATAACTTTTGAGTTACATCATCCACTGCACTGCATTTCCAGTTTTAATCTGCTGTCATCTACAGCCTAAGCCTGAAGAGTGTTATAAAAAGGGTAAGTTCTCCTGCAGTCAACACACAGATGCACTAATATTTTTCTTACTTCTTTAGAAATATTAGAGAGAGAATTAGTTTTCTTATTAGCATTGTTTTCTTCTTTGTGTGTGTTTTGCCAATGAAACCTTACTGGAGCTAGTGTCACTGATCTTAAAGGAAGCATGAAAATGAGACACACACTCCATCAGTCCCCTCTGGCCTTCCCCCCAAAAAAAAAAAAGACCACCAAAAAAATCCAATCCTAAACATATATTCACATGGAAGACACTGTCTTTAGAGTGTCCCACAGGCACAGCCTAGAGCTGATCCTAGGAATTTCTACCTTTATTCCTGCTCACTGAAGGATAGGATTCATTTCTCTATAAACTGCACAGTGGTGCTATTGTTCGGTTTGTAACTAATGATACCATGCAACTGCACAGGTCTCCTGGATCCAGGAGGTGTCATATTGTAACATGGACAGTATAAATCTACAATTATTGCTGCGTGGCTTTATAACAAAGTGTCCTTTATGAACAGATGTTTTGGGCTAATGATGCATATAAAAGTGCTAGGATTTTGGATGGATTTTTACTATTGATCGGTCTTGGTGAATTGCATCTTGTATATCATATCTCATTCTGCTCCCTAATGCACCAGAATGACATGGGTTACACTGTGATATGGATGTTATAACTAACTGCCCTGGGTCTCTGGCCCACATTTGCAGGTCAAACACACCTGAAGAGGCTTCACTTACACTAAAGGTCATGCTGGTTAAGAAAGAGACACCAGTTCCAGAAGGCAGAGTGCACATCTGCACAATGCATAAAGTGCAAAAGCAAGAACATTCCCCTTTGTTTTTACCACCTTTTAGAGAGGAAATCCTTACACTCACCCATTTCCTTGTCTTCCTGAACCCTTCTCCTTTCATTCTTGCAGGCCTCCATCCATTTCTTTTTATCCTCCTGTTTTTTTGCACAGAACAAATGAATTTCTTCTGTTGCTCTGTTTATTATCTTAAAAGCATTCTTGACATTAATGTTAAAGTCTTTGTCTCTGCCATCTTCAGTGTCCATAATTTCCATCTCATCCATGTCAATACGATCCTTATAATACAAGATGTCCCTTCTCAGTAAGTCCTTCTTACAGAACACAAGCTGATGGTCAAAAAGGAAGAAAGTCCTCTGCTGGCTTTTGCCTTGCTTTGATATTTTGGTCAGTTCTCCCGAGTGGATCAGTTCTGAGCTTCTGGCTAACACATCTGGTCCCTGAGAAGATATATATACATGAGGTAAATAGCACATTAAGATCTTACTGTGTGCCTAACCGGTCTTATCTTATAATCAGGTCTTAAGTTCATTAATTTTTTTTGCATTTTTATTAGTAGATTTGAAAATGTCATAGAATGTAGTTAATCTGATACAGGCAAACTCAACGAATGTGATTCTGCTCTACTGGAGGAGGAAACTCATGACAGTCAGTGAAGGAGGTTCAAGTTCTGAAAGAACCACCAAAAATCCAAAGGCGATTCAATACGTCGAGCACTTCTAAAAAATCTGTTTTGTCATCTCAAAGACAAGTGTCCATGTTAATAAAAGCTGGTCTTCCTGATTTATAAACAGGTAATCAGTAACAGAACCAGTGCAAATGAAGCAACTGGACTTTTAACTCAGCAGCGACCATAAACAACCTACTATGCAGAAAAACATATCCTGCAGAGGACATGAAGTACTGTACACAGTACCTTTGGTCAGGAAAGGGACAGGCTGACACTTACCTCCCAGCCTACGATAGAGACCTGCCAACATGCAATCTTGTCTATGCTTTCTAGTCTGCGTTTTCGCTCATTGATCAGGCACGCTACATTCTTCATAGCCTCATATGCAGCTTTTATGTTGTTATAATCACTGCGAAATGTAAGCACGTTTCAAAGATCACTTATGCAATGGATATGATGCAATCACAAAATGCGACACGGTGCTTGAATTATTAGCCCACATTGCCCATGTATACCTCTAACTCAGAGTACTGAAGTAAGGGAAACCTGATTTTCAGCTACCCTGAACTTCACATGGTGGTATGTAAAATTCAGTGCTGCCGTATTGCTAAGCAAATTATTAAACTTGTGGAAGGAAGCAGAGGAGGTAGGTTAATGATTGCAATACTGTCTCTACTGAAAACAGTGATAGAACTCCCAGTGATCTCAGTGATATCCACATTTCACCAAAGGAAACTTTTTTTAAGCACAGTTTTAGTGGGATTTTATTGGGAAGGGCATTCCTTTAATTACAGTATTTTCTCCTTCGTGTTCCCATGGGATCAATAAATGCAAATAAAGAATTCTATATGGGCAAAAAATATACTGAAAGCAACCTCAAATGGGGTGAGTGAGGGACCAAGGACACGGGCACCAAAGAGAGGAATTAAAAAAGACAATGCTCACAAAATGACCTGTTTTCATGGAACAAGTGCATGAAAGCCAAGACAGCCACCTTCCCCTTCCTGTTCCAGCTCAAATGCAAGCCTCCTGTCCTTCCATTGCTCTGCTCCCCTTATGCTTATGAATCTCCCCAGGTTTTCATTCCCCCATGAATAGTCTACATCACTCCTTTACCTTCCTCAAATGAACTCTCTGAGATGAGAGAAGGAAAGAGACATATATCTTGTCTTAGAGTCCCAGAACAGCAGTTGCCTTCCCTCCTTTATCAGAATGCCTCTTGCAGAAAAGGAAGCCAGAAGTAGAAAACAGCACGAGCCAGAAATAATCATGCAAAGAGGCTGGCCTCACTGTCCTTTTTATCTGTTTCTGTCTCAGTTCCTATTTCCTTCAGCTGCTGCTGATGGATGAGATTCTCTTACATCTGCGCATTATTCTCCTCTCTCTATTTATATCCATAGAAACTCTTTTCTGCCACGCTGTATACAAAAAGTGAGATTAACAATAACAGGATCCTACTAACATCAGGGAGGTGGCCCACAGGGTGACCGCATGATATCCACGCTGCTACTCTTGCCCTTCCTTATCTCAGTTCCTTCTTACCCTGTTGGCATGTTATTCCACATTAGCTGCATAAACCGTGGCCTTCATGGCAGGCTGAGCACACTGGATCTTCCAACTTTTTATAAAAATAAATCAAAAAGCTACCCAAAAACCCCAGTTGGCTGAAGCTTTACCAGGGCTCCATGTGGGTGTAGGTCTGCCTGTGAGCATCTCTGTACAACAGATGCCTGTCTGTGTTTGCAGGCATCTCTGGATGCTGTACCACAGATGAGGAAAACAGGTACTATAGGTGGAAGGTAGCAAGACCTTGCTGTCACTTCATCTGCAGGTTTAATAGCTCAGAGAATAATCTTTCTAGATTAGTAGCAGTGAAAGAAATACCCATGTTAGTAATTGTTCTTGCAGGACTTCCCAGGTAGCCACTGAATTGAACGGGGACATTTCACAGCTGAACATCAGTATTTCACATCCCCTTCAATGCAATACTTCACATTTTTCAATGCATTTTTCAATACAATACTTCACATTTTGCCCCTGACAAAAAAAAAACAACCAACCTGGTCTCCAAGGGGAGTTTTCTCAAGGTTAAAGAAGTGCAGAGTTTGGCCAAGGAAGCATTGCCTCAGGCTGCACTTGGACTGTGAGCACAAGGGTCACAATGGAACAACTTTCTTGCAGTGTACAAGGTAAAAAGGCAGACATTTAAAGATAAAATCTTAATTTAGTCAAATATTTAATCAGGCCAGGGATATACTAGAGAGGGTAATAATCTGCAACTTCAATTCTTATCTACCCCAGCTGGAAGTCTAATATCTGGACGTTATTGCAAATGAAGGCAAAGTTCATTACTAATAATTTCCTAAAATATTACCTCCAAGCTTGCTTAGATTGTGTTGGGTTTTTTTTCTAAGGCCTTCTTTGCCTTTTCTTGTGTCCACAATATTTACGCAGCCTCCTCCTTTCTTCTGTGGATTTCCTTCTCCTTCATTTCTTTGACACATCAGTGCTCTTTTTTCCACTCTGATTTACACATCCCTCTCTGCATCCTATTTCAGCACCTTCTTCCTTTCCTTCTCCCTCTTTCAGTTATTCCTCATTCTATGCTGAATCCTGCCAGTCCCCTGTGCTGCATTTCCAGGTACTGTTTTTGTTAATGTTTGTGATGGTCTCAAGATGCCCATTTTAGTAAGAAGCTCATGTCTGTAGCGGTCAATGGGAGCTTTGTCCCTGATCTCACAAGCTTCTGTGTTGTGTCACCCAGGAAGCTTGAGTAATTAGGTGTTATTAACGTTATACAAATCTTATAATATTTATTTTTATTCATTCTCTCACCTGTGCTCCTGTGTGGTGTATTTGAGTAATTCTGCAAGCTGCAGGGGGTATTTGCAGATTTTCTGAACAGGCGTGAGAAGAAAACCATCAATGGCAATGTCAATCATCTGCTGAAGCAAGCGACAAGCCTCAAAGAAGTGACGGTATTTGCCCTGTTTCATTAGGTTGGAAAGTTCAGCGCAGGCACTGGGATGATTGTTACAGTACTCCGAATAAATTGCAAAGCCTTCTTGCTATTAAAAAAAAAAAAAAAAATCAAAGCTTTAACTAAAGTATTTGTCTATAAAGGGGAAGGCTATTTTTGTAACATTGATTATATCTGATTAATTAACCCATTCCTTATATTGTTTCCAGGCTGATCAACCTTTGAAGTAGGCAGAAATCTACTTTGTTACTGCCAAAACTATGTATTTTCTTTGCCAGAACACGGTGATAGAGGCCCTCATTGAGAGAGGATAATCAAATCCACTTTAAAGTACTTTTCTTTGGGGAAGACAGCTATAGGCTTATCAAGTGCGTATCATGAACTCGCAGCCTCTTTCCCCACCACCTTCTTTCCTTATTTTCTTTAGGAAGTTTTTGCATGTCCCATGTAAGATCACTGCAAATAGTACAGCTCATCTGTGATCATTACAGTTCTGATTAGGAAACAGAACTGTACACAAAGTTACATGCTTGCTAAAGATAAGGAGAAATCTAAAACATTTAAACAATTCTTTAATAGCAAATTATTTTGCATTCTAAAATAATACACATAGTTTAGTATTTGATAAGCACTTGTTGCTAAGATCCCTTCCTAACATGATAACTCAGCATTTTCTTATCATATTTTGCTAATTTCGTAAATAAAATTGACTTTTGCAACGTACATGTTGAAGAAAACATGACCCTATTTTGCTTAGATGAGGTTCCTCTTTGTTGTACTGTTTCTCAAGATCCTTCAGAAACTTCCTTTGGAACTTGTAAATATCTTCGATATTTCCAAAAATGGTGCTTAGCTGAGCTGTGGTGAACATTCCTGTATGTTTGCGACACTGACGAATATAACCCTGCAAATAAAATTAAAAACACTCTTCAGCGTGAAGATGTGAAAACAGGTTCTATCCTGAACAAGCCCATTTGAGCTGGCAAAACCCCTGTGATCAACATGCAGGTGAGTGGTTTCCCACCCCTAAACACACACACACAGACATGCAATTTCCCATCTGCATCTAAAATGCTTACACATTGACTCTTGCAGTCCAAATTCCTCCCACAGTGCCATAAATGAATCAGAGAACCAGAAACCTGCAGAGTGTGTAAAGCCCATTTGCATCTCCTTGTAATGACCACCCACCAAGCTGAAGGCAAGCCCGGTGTAAGGCTTCATTCATGCTCCTACTTCAGCTGCTATGCTTTTTAGTAGCAATTTCTATTGTGCCATAACAATTCTTCTCTGTGCAGGTGAGAACAAGCCCTAAAATAGTTCATTAAAGGATGGTTTCTACGAGGGTTAAAGTACTAGTTCCTTAACCACTACGTAAGTATGGCACAGTCTAAGTTTTGCCAGAGAAACAAAATGAAGAACATACTATGAGGCATTCAGAATGCTGCTGTTGGTAAAATCTGTATGGTACTGGCAAGACTGCACATAAAAATGCAGTTTATTTTCTAGTTCTTTTTCCTTTACTTGCAAGAACATCACAGGGGTCCAGTTCACTTGGTTTGTATGCAGTGTTAAGTAGACACACAACTGAGTCCTCTGCCATCAGTAATGGACATTACATTGCACTGGCATTTGCATAACTAAGAAACAAAGATAGATCAGAGGCCTCTCAGGGCTTAAATATTCAGCAGCAGCTGCCACACACAGCCAGCACATCCTTAGGTACGTGTTCCACAAAGCTGAGCATGGCAAGAATATAGTGCAGGGGCTGAATATCATAGACTGTTTTGCGCTGGTAGGGACCTTAAAGATCATATAGGTCCGACACCCCTGCCATGGGCAGGGACACCTTCCTCTAGACCAGGAATACCCAGGATTAGCTGCTGTGCTCATACTTTCATATCAGCTATGGTGCCAGGGTGCAGATGAGTATGAAGGTTAACTGGTGTAATGGGGGTTATCTAACAGGGTCCTACGTTTGGTGGCTTTCAGGGAGGTTTCCCCAGAATTACTTTGGGAGCAGACAGCTGTAAAAAGCCTTGCAATTGCTCCGGTGAGGTTTACCAGGAAATAACTCTGAATACTGCTGGCACTGTTTTGAATATTCCTGTCTCCCCACAGCCATCTGCTTTGAGATCTGTACAGTGGCTATGTTGCAAGTCAGCTACTACATTTACTGCTGTTAGGAGGATAACTCCAACAAGGAAAACTAATCCCTGTGCAGCTCTTGTAATGTGGACTACAGACACTTACTGTATGTAATTTACTTTTCTGGGTATGCTCCAGCTAAATGACCCTGACTGCACCAGCCATAATGACTCACTGTAGTACAGAGTTTGCAAATTTTGATTACCATCTGTAGTAGCTTTTCTGGCTTAGTCTTATTTATTTTCAGCTTTACATCCTACTTGCATCACTTTACAGATTCACTCTGAGGAAAGCAGACCACCCCTACTCCAGACGTTGAACATGGAGCATCACTTTTCTACTTGGAAAATGTGTGTTTTCTCTCTTGGACTAAACTCAGAGGCATGCCAGATTTTAAAAAAGAGGTATGGAATATATGTGTTAGAAAAAGATAATTAATAATATCAGTATAAGAATTAGTAGGTCAGTAAAATATGAAAAGTCATGTCCTAGAACTCATGCTGTCAGTGAACAATGTCAGAGAACTATGGCAGCAACACAGCTGCATGTAAAAATTTCTCCCTGATCTTTCAGGCACACAGTCAACCTCACTAGCTTAGGTAAACAGCAAATCTAAATGACAAAACCTGCATTTAATGCTTTAAAATTAGCCCATTAGCAACCAATTTTTGCCTTTTTGTTTCCACTTTTTTCTTTCTTGAAAATGCATGAAAAAAGCCTGATCTAACACCAAAACAACCCCAAAACCCACTGCTGTCTTGTCTGTTTTGTTGTCAGTGAAAGCACCTAACAGTGAGTGATGGACTAAAGGATGACTACATGACAAATACTGAGTGACTTTGCAAACTAAGGGTACAAAGAATATTTTGATAGGTTGCTTAGCACCCTTCCAGATGCTAACCACAAATATAAGTCAAATACAGGTCAAATGCATCACAGTCCACACAAGAAGAGGCAAACTTCAGTGAAAAGTATCAAGTAGCTTTTTGTCCAAGTGTGGGCCTCCAACAAAAAAATGTTACTTTCAAAAAGTTGAACTGTAATTGATTTTATTAAAGTTACTGAAAGTTTTCTACCTAAACCAAGTGGCAAAAAGTTCTGAATAAACTCAACTTCCTTCTCTCACTATTCTGGAAATAGTGGTCAGGCAAGCAAAGCACTTTTTCCATGCCAAAGGTGGAATGTTTGGGTTTTTTTAAAGGAAGCAGTGCCTTGTGGCAGCCAGCAGGGAGGAAATCTATAAGAGGGCAGAAGAAGGGTCTGACTGACAGCCTCAGAAGAACAACTGGGAATATTCTCCTATAACAAATCACTCCGGTTCTCAACTTATATGGAGTATTTTATTCACACTAGGGCAGAATGCCCTTAGGTAAAAGCATGTACCTCACAGATGTCCTTGAGATGCTTGATATAGACTCGTTCTGTGTTCATAATTTCCTGTATAACATTGGTTCTCATCTGATCCTTGTTTTCAGCTGCTTTCTGGCGATGCTTGCTAGTATCTGCATCTTGTTCTTCATCCTGAATACTACTCCCATTTTCTGGCACTTCTTCCTGATTAACTCGCAGCTGCGGCCAAAACAAACAAAGCAAGCTACAGTAAAGCAGCAAACTTTTACAAAAGGTGACAAAACAGTTACAAACTTCTTACAGTCAAGAGAGGACTTGCTATGGAAATGTGCTGCCTGTTATTTTTCAGACTTGAACTTATTTCTGACCCTCATTCATAGTTCGTGTTATTTTAGCCAAGCCAGCATATGAGTAAAAATTACAAAAGTAGGCAACTCGAACACTCTTAACTAGTCTCCCTCTACCCCAGTTCCCCACCTACACAGTATGGATAACAGCACCTTCTTATTTGACTTCGTCTGATTGCCCATACTGGCTGGAGAGCAAGGAACGGCATAGGCAGGAACCATCTCTTGTGCTTTATGTAGAACTTTATCCAGTGTGGCTCAGGCTTCATTACAGGCTCTCAAAAAGTATTTACATTAATCTCTAAAACATGGTTCAATTTTATGAAACTCATGAGTTACACTGTCATTAATCTGGCTGAGTTCTAACTGGGGAGTTCAGACTGTGAACCAGATTCCTACACAATGTTGTGATAATAAATTAAGCCCTATTTTGCCAAGAAATCCCTGCAGCATAGCTTTCCCTGCTCGCCTGTGAAAGATGATGTGTCCTTTCTGTATAGACTGATTGCTCCCAGTTGAGCTTTCTGCTGCCCTCATTTCTGCTTGAGAAATTCCTTTGGTTACAAAAGGACCACAAAAGGAAGAAGCCAGATTAAAAGGTGCGAAAGGAGCTAAGGAATCTTGGGGTGTGATTCTCTATGGCTTTTTTCCTTGTGAAGTCATTAGAAGTTGCACCACTGATGTTCAGATACAAAGATGCAGAGATCACTTGTGTAAGACAATTACTCACCCTGACAAAGCTCGCTGGAAACCAGGCTTCCTTATCCTCATTTCTTCCCCACCACCAGTCTTTGTTGGAAGCTTCTAGAACTCTAATGACATCTCCAGCTTTGAAGCCCAGCTCTTGATCATCCATAGTCACATGGTCCCAAAGGGCTTCTGCATAGACAATACTGCCATCGCTTATTAGCTGAGATGGGAAGAAAAGGAGGTTGTGAAGGACAAGGGATAAACAACTTAACTGTTTGTGAACTACTAAAAGACCAAAACACCTCCACAGAGTGCCCATGATTACTCTTGTTACAGGATAAAACTAAAATTCTGGATTTTCAGAAATCCAGGCATATATTTTATTAGTGGGAACAATTAAGAGTCCTAATCCAGAGCAGTTACATAGGCTAACAAGTTACAATCCCAATGAAGTACTAGTCACTGTGCTCCTCCCCGGCACTGGCCCATGGGCCCTGCCAGAGACAGGACACCATGGCTGTTGGATTGTTCGTGACACTGGCTATTGCCATTCCAGGTTTTATTAATATGAAACATCAGATCTGTGGAAAACACCCCCATCCCCATCATTACAGCAATGGAAAGCCCAGGATGTTACCTCATTAATTGCTAGCTGTTCCCCTCCGGGCTGCAGGTACCTGGGAGTGGCTTGGCAGAGCTCCTCATAACTGTAATCTTCCTCACTGCCATTGTCATCCACTAAGGCTGAAGATTCAGTCCCACCATCTGCAGCAACTAAAACAAAGATGCAACAGCTGTTTGCTTCATCATTTTTATGATTCCTCCAAAAAAACAATGCAGGAGGAATTGCTGAGAGGTTGCTTTTGTTGTCATAATATAACAATAACAGCACAAACGAAGGACAGCAGAGCTCTCAGGAAAAACACTCTTCCACCACTGAATACTTTTCACTCTTCTTTGGAATTTTCTCTGATGAAACTTAGAAATTCTCCCTTTTGTGTGCAAAAACCAGAACTACAACCATTATTTGTTAATTTTTTACCCAGAGGAAATCTCAGACTACATGAATCAGCTGGGAGGTCTCAATGCCTTTTCCCATGTGGCAGATCAGAGAGCTCCAATGGGAAGGCAGATGGGGCTACTGTCAGTCCCAGGCTGGGTTCTGTCACATTGCCACATCCCTGCAGGAACCCAAAACCTCAATGCTCCTCTGAGCTGGCTGCCACCACCTCTCTCACGTGCTGGAGGAGGCTCTGGCAGCACCAAGGTATCTGCAGGGTATCCCCCAGGGGGACAAAGAGCCTGGACTGCCTGAGAAAACACTTGTTCTAATTGCCTCAAATCACAAAGACAGTCTTGGTTTGACAGTGGTGCATCCTCTGACCAAAGAGGCAGCTTTGTAAGGAAATAGAGGCCAGAACTAAGATGGGCTTCATCTTATTACACAGCCACATAAACCAGGAGAAATGTCATGTGACTGTCGCTATGCACATGTAAATCTGAAGTTACTATATAAAACTGTAAGACCCGTTTTGGGTACATCACTGGGTGGTAGATCCTTTTGGTGACCATCTCTGTTCTGGCAGATGAAGAGGACTGGGGTCTGACATCAGGACCAAGTAATACTGACTGACTCATGCCCACACTGCTCAGTGCTAGGCCCTTTCAGAGTAGGTTTGCCTTTCAAAGCCAGCAGTAATGTCGAACAGAGCAGGGGATGAGCTGGTAACCAAGAAGTGTTCATGACCAGTGGTCCAATGCTTGAGTGCAACCTCTGGTCCTTGTTAATTTACCCTGAAGATTTATTCCTAAAGCAGTCTCAAGCAGTGAATAACTAGAAAGTCTGAAAATCATATAATGTTCAAAAATCCGATTAAAAAAGTAGTAGTAGCAGTAATAATAATAATAATTAATAATAACAACAACAACAATATAATCAGAATGGGCTGGTAGCACAGAGCTCCTTTCTAATGGTTAATGTGTCCCAGGTAGGTTGCCACATAGCCTGCTGAGCATCTCTCTTGCTACACAGTACCCAGTAAGGGGCCTTTAAGTGAAGTTATCAAACCTGCCACCTGCACCTGGCAGCAAGACTGAGCAGCAGGGCCCTGACCTGCCTCTTCTCTGCCTTGCTTCAAGACTGAGTACCACCTGCCTGCTGAGCTCTGCGTTCCGGATGGGTGAGTCACAGAGATGTCTCCTGGCTCTACTCCACACACCTACATAATGAACGAGCACACCACTGCCTATCCATTATTTACCTTACAGGGAGAAACACCTTAACCCCCTCCTTATGGGCACTTATACCATCATGAGCATCTTTGGTCATTTGGGTATTAATTCATAAGAGACATCAAAACTGATTACTGCACAGATTCACTAAAAGACTTGTAAGATTTTTCTTTCTTTCAAAGGTGGCAAAATACAGCATAGCCTTGATGTAACAGAACATACCTATTTGACTGTTCTGTTCTACTCCCTAGCATTTTAAATATAAACTCATATTGATGGTACAATCTGCCTTACCAGAAAGGATGCAGGATCTCTATTTAAAAAAATAAGATTCTTTTTTCCCTACAGACTCATAAATGTGAGTGCTGACAAACTTTTAAAACACATCTTGTGAAACTTACTGAAACTGCTTTATAAAAAAACCCAACCTGCAAATAAATAATTCATTGCATCAATTTTCAGGCTATAAAGCAACACCAAAAAATTAATCCCAGTGATCATTTATACATCTCTGCTGTACTATCAGTACTGGCTGATGGTTTGTTCCAGTAACAAGAGCACACCGAAATAACCTAACTCGCTTGGCTCCAGATGAAAAAAGAGTGCAATCTGGGGATCTATAACTGTTCATTATTCTGTACCAAACCAACAAGCTTACATTGTCTTCATAGTTAGACTCAAGTGAAAATCAGTCACTTGCATTCTGCATCTAGTCCTCTATTGTTTATAGACAGGGGTGGGCTTTCTGATCGCACCAACAGGATGCAAAAACTTAACAGCCTGGGACTGATTCTGATCTCCTAGCGGCTTTGTCACCACTGTAAGGCTGCAGGCTCCTGTGGGTGCCACAGTATAGGCACGATCAGAATCAGGCCCCCTGCCTGTCCCAGGTTACCAGTTCACTCTAAAACCACCATAAAATCAGCACGCAAGAGAGCATGTTATCCTTGTACATACCCATCTGAAGGCTCTCCAGACTCCAAAACCGGGCCATTCCCCCCCGCGCTACCATGCTGCAGTCAGACTCAACCCCAGGCAAGGGTCTGACCTCTAACAGGTGATGCTGGGTCCTGGAGGGATAGCGGAGGACGACAAAAGGCTCGGAGCTACCCTCAGCGGGCAGGCGCACAGCAGTGCGCTGGGATGCCGGCAGTGCCTGCGCGGACCAGCCCAGCCGGGAGCTGCCAGCGGCGCGCTCTGGCTGGCCGCGAGCGCTCTGAAATCATGGGGTGCCCTTAGGGAGGAAGTTCCAGAAAAGAAACAAAAACCTGGTTTCTGGGCCCCGGCGCTGTGCCTGCAGCCGCCGCTCCCAGAGAGCCCCAGCGTCTCGAGCGCAGCCAGCCAAGGAGTGCATTTGTTTTTCATTACAGCAGCTTAATGTGATTTCAATCTATATTCAAATGACTGCAATTCAAAGGAAAGGACTATTTGGACGGGAGCTGGGAGTTCCTTGTGTTACAACACTGTTAGGAGTATCGGTCTCTCTGTGTTATATTATACCGGTTAAAACTCCAGCAGAAGTAAACAATGAAGGTACTTTTTGCATAGTTATTAAAACTTCTCTTGCTTCACAGGCAAACGCTGTACCATTATTTAGGGCACAAGCAGCTAAAGTGTTAAGGCTGCAGCAGGCTGCTCTCAGGAACAGAGAGGAGGACAGAGACATTTTCTTCCTGAAACTACAAACTTAATTCAGCTGCTCCAAAAAACAGGAAGGCACCCAAATAGTCCAGCTTTCACTGGGACTGACCCAGCCAGAGCACAACCTCATTCATTCACCATGGGCCAGCATTTACCACCCTCACACTGGTGGTGTTCTGCTGGATCAGTTCATGCACTGGAAGCAAAGACAGGAGCTACTATCATCAGCAGAGTGCAAAGCCTGCTGCAGTCTGTGCTTGTACACAGCACTGCATTTACGTCTTGGAAAGCTCCATAATCTTTATGGCTCAACTTTTTACCTGCAAACTGCATTGCTCAGCTGAGCCTGTCCTGTAACAGGGGACTGCCTCCCCAGGGATGCATTCACAAAACCCTGGAGGCATTTCTGTACACAGTGACCTCTCAACACCCACTGAAATCACATGGGTTCCCCTAGCGCTGCCTCTAGTGAGAAGAAAAGGCCAAACATCGCCCTGCAATGCTAATGCCATCTTCCTACAAAAGTCCAGACTGGGCTGCAGTACAGGAGGCTGGTAGGAATCCTCTTCTGACTACCTCTATTTTCCTGCTGCAAGAACACTTGTTGGATAGCACAGTAAAAAGAAGCTACTACATACTCTGTTTATACACGATTTTCTGAGCACAAATCAGTAAAAAAAAAAACCCAAACAACCCAGTAAATAGAAGTAACATTGAAGTGCTAATGATCTTTAAGGTCCCTTCCAACTCAAACCACTCTATGATTCTATGATCATGGGACATGCAAGTGAAGGTTTCACGCTTTCAATGAGCCAGAGAGCACAAGCCATGTCAAACCTGTACCCACAAGGGAAAATAAGCTGAACAGCCAAAGGAAAATGAGCTCAGATCCCACACAGCTCTTCTTGAAGATGCATTAAAAATGAACCTTGAAGAACAGTCATTCTGTTTGAATTCTGTAGAACAGAACAGCCTGTGTGCTTTTGCCTGGTGACAAATCCAATGCCACCATGGGATGCTGCTGGGGAGGGTGGATCTCTTCATCTACCAACTGTGCAGCCACCAACTGAACCACCACAAAAGTACTAGTTTGGGCTGAGCTGGTGGCGGCTTCGTTTCCTTGAGGTATCAGGCAGGGATAGGAGGCGGCTCAGGCTGTCCTTTTTAGTGACAGCCCACAGTGACCCTGTCCAAGTGCATGCTGAGTTTGCCTACCCACTGCCCAGAGCACTCTGAAAAGGCTGTGGGTAGCACATACTAATACTAACAGCTAGCTTACCCACCTCAAGAACATCCAGGTCTAGATACCCCTCTGGCATCACAGGACCCTCCACCCTGGGGCAACCAAAGGTACCCCCACCCACTGCTCTGACAGCAGCCAGTAGGAGATGTCCAGGGAAGAACATAAAAATAGATGAGGCATGTAATGGCCTTTCTCTGATGTACTTCCCTAAGTTTCAGCTATCTGCAGATCAGAGTCAGATCCCTCCTGGGGCAGAAGTGATATCTTTGTGTTTAATGAACCAAATTTTTCAAACCCTTTTTTGAATTTCTGTAAACTTTTGGGATGTGAAATATCATGTGTAGCAATTACTTTCATTGTTTAATCTTTTAGAGTGTGAAAACTGCCTTTTATTTTGAACTTGCTATCTCATCATTTCATTTGATGCCTTTCGGTTATTACATTATTGGAAACAGTAGCTATTATCTATTCACTTTTCCAATGCCAATCAGACTATTATTCCCCTACTGCCCTTTTTGCCAAGATGCAGAGCCCTGGCTGCATTAATCATTCCTCACACAGAGGCACTGAGTAGGTTTTCTTGTCCTTTTGCCTTTATATCATTCCCTGTAAAAGATGCCTTTTGAGGTGGAAAGGAACAACAGGGAGATGGCCCCCA